CAGTGCATTCCAGGCCAGACAAAATGAGACATGCAGTATTTTTCTGGTCTGGTCTGGTCTGGTCTGGTCTGGAACGGACTGCACTGGTGTAAACACAGGCCAGACATAGCATAGGGATTAGGATGCATTTCGGGTCCGGAAACAATCTGGTCTGGTGTGGAGATGATCTGGTTGTGGTGTGAATGGGCCCTTAATGAAGATGGGAAAATGTTGATGGGAACTAGAGAGCAGTGGATAAAGATGGGATGATTGCGGCCAGGGAGTTAAAGGATGGGGTAATGGAAGGGGAGGAGATGGAATGATGGAAATTAAGTTGATGGTCACTGCCCCATTTGAGAGCTGTAGATGGTGTGTTTGGAAATGGAGGATGGGGTGATGGGAACTAAGAAATTGTCAATGAAGATAAGAAGGTGTTATAAGGAGTGGGTAGTAGGTGGGAAGTTGGGTTGATGGGCATTGCCCCAATGGAAGATAATGTGATGGGAACTGGGAAACTTTAGCTGAAGATAAGAAGGGGTGATAGGAAACAGGTAGTACATGGGAAGTTGGATTGGTGGGGCATCTCCTCATTTGAAGATGGGGTGATGGGAACTGGAAACTTTAGATGACGATAAGAAGGGGTGATAGGAAGCAGGTAATAGATGGGAAGTTGGGTTGATGGGGCATTGCCCCATTGGATGATGGGAACTGGGACACTTTAGATGACGATAAGAAGGGGTGATAGGAAGCAGGTACTAGATGGGAGGTTGGGTTTATGGGGCATTGCCCCATTGGATGATGGGAACTGGGACACTTTAGATGAAGATAAGAAGGGTTGATAGGAAGCAGGTAGTAGATGGGAAGTTGGGTTTCATGGGCATTGCCCCATTGGATGATGGGAACTGGGAAACTTTAGATGAAGATGAGAAGGGTTGATAGGAAGCAGGTAGTAGATAGGAAGTTGGGTTGATGGGGCATTGCCCCATTGGAAGATGGGAACTGGGAAACTTTAGATGACGATAAGAAGGGTTGATAGGAAGCAGGTAGTAGATGGGAAGTTGGGTTTATGGGGCATTGCCCCATTGGAAGATGGGAACTGGGACACTTTAGATGAAGGGGTGATAGGAAGCAGGTAGTAGATGGGAAGTTGGGTTTCATGGGCATTGCCCCATTGGATGATGGGAACTGGGAAACTTTAGATGAAGATAAGAAGGTGTGATAGGAAGCAGGTAGTAGATGGGAAGTTGGTTTTCATGGGCATTGCCCCATTGGAAGATGGGAACTGGGACACTTTAGATGAAGGGGTGATAGGAAGCAGGTAGTAGATGGGAAGTTGGGTTTCATGGGCATTGCCCCATTGGATGATGGGAACTGGGAAACTTTAGATGAAGATGAGAAGGGTTGATAGGAAGCAGGTAGTAGATAGGAAGTTGGGTTTCATGGGCATTGCCTCATCTGAAGATGGTGTGATGGGAACTGGAGCGATGTAGATGTTGTGATGAGATCTGATCCGTCAGAATGGGTTGATTAAAGTTGAGGAGCTGGGTGGAGGACGGGGGTGATAAAAGGAGAGAACATTAGAACTCGTCTCATTGATGGCTTAAGGACTTAAAAAAAACTCTTCATCTGCTGGAACACGTTCTATTGCTTTGGTAGCTTTCATTTCAACATGTGCGCAGCTTTCCCCCCCCTCTTCCCATCCTGATGGTGCTTGCCTTCCACCCTTCTCCGACAGTGCCAGCTATCTTTTTTTAACCCTTTCCATTATTCTTCGACTAAATCTGAGTCTGCGACGTCCCCCCGCAGCGCCAGGAGGTTCTCGCTTTATACTCTTCAGGTATTAAAAACGATAATATATAAAGCCAGAACAAGCTCCGCCTTTTGCGTCAGGGAGCCGGGGGAATGAGCGTTTGATATTTAACAATTATTCCCGAGTCGTGTCCCGGCTTGTGTGAGGCTTCCGCTGATTAAAGTTGCCGTACTCATAAAGATTATTCACAGTCACGGCTGTCTGGGATGTCCCTGATAACGGCGTCTGTCACCCTTCGTCCGCAGAGCTCGCACTTTGCGTCGTCCTTTTTTGGGAGAGGGAGATATTTGTGGGTGAAATAAAAATAAAGCTGCTGCTGTATTTTTTCTCTGCCAACTTTTTGCTGTCTAAGAATAATTCACGGTCATGGCTGCCTGGGTGAGAACGGCATCTGTCGCCTCCTCGCCTGCAGAGCTCGCACTCTACATCCTCCTTGTCGGGGGG